TCACTGCCCTTCATCAGGTAATTGTCGATCCGAGTAAACTTCCGGGAATTTCAAAGTGAACACTTTATTTAAACTACAGGGCTAGATGTTCTCGATCCGATCGCCATATTTCCAGATATCTCGTCTGGTTCCTTTTTAGTCGGTGTTCACATGATAATAACTTAGCGGATTAAAGTGTTGGTTCGTGAATTTGGTGACAGAGTAATTGCGAGTTCAATCCATAGGATGGACAGTCTGTGCATTTTGACAGTGGAACCGGGGCGTGCAATAGCCGAACGAGAACAATCTACATTAAAATAAATAGAAGGTTCAATTCGAAAATAAAACACCTCATTAAGGCCGGAGGACATAACGGCCGAAGTACTGAACTCAATCTTTATGTTATGTTTGTTAACACGGCAAACCTTCTGAAGGACCAGTCAATGAGGGATATCTATCTATCTATCTATCTATCTATCTATCTATCTATCTATCTATCTATCTATCTATCTATCTCAGTCTGTTCATATCTATCTATCTATCTATCTATCTATCTATCATAAGCATTAACTTCTCTAGATTTCGACTCTTCCAGAATTATCCGCATTTTGATGTACTACACACACACACACACACACACACACACACACACACACACACACACACACACACACACTAAGTTGTAGTTACTTGTCCGCTGTTGTCTGATTTAATGAAATTGTCATCTTTGATAATGGCTTATGTAAGCCGAAAGCTTAGATTGGATTTAAACATGTATCAATATGGTGATTTCCTTTCGTCTTTCAACGATAATGTGATTACGCTTATCAGACAATATGAAAGGAACTTACTTAAAATAAATAGACAAATTTTGTCTATATTATTTAATGAAACATGCATCAATGAAAAATTGCTTCCTAAATATACACAAATATATATATATATATATATATATATATATATATATATATATGTGTGTGTGTGTGTGTGTGTGTGTGTATTTGTGTGTATTTACCATGTTCACCATAGTCTATAAATACAGAATACAGCGCAGTACGTAATCTGTTCAATGAAACAACGTTAAAGATTAATACTCACGAGTCAGACACTGTACTGAATCTGACTATATCGCCAATACCACCACCACCACCACCAGCAGCTGTTCTGTAATTTTTCAGTCTTCGATATCAAAGGCTGCCCGTGAATATTCAGAAAAAAAAAACATGGCCGCCTTTATACACGTCGCATTGAATATTTTGAGTCTTCTGATTGGTTAACGCTTCTATTGGTGAACTATTAAATGAGTCAGCACATTTTGGCTGGCTCACTAGTACAACAAGGTACCCAAAAATTCTACCCCCCCATTTTGGGTACATTATGGAATCTTTTTCAAAATATTAATAAAGTCAATATTCATATGGAACAAATACTTTAGTATTCATAAAATATATCTTTTTTGTTTTCTAATAAAAAATTTTAAAATATATATATTTTTTAATATATATATATATATATATATATATATTTTTAAAAAATATATATTTTTTAAATTCCACAAAAATTAGTCATATCATTTTGTCCACTGTTAAGTATTTTAGGTTTAGACTATGGCGAACATGGTTAACAGTGTGTGTGTGTGTGCATTTTATTTGTATTCTTATTTTGAATCTGATTAGCTTGGTCTAGGATAGTTAATATTAACCAGCCTTACCCCGTCTCCTCTTCGGTCTTGTGCCACATTTGTTGTATTTAACAGCAATAAATCTACTTTGTATTATTTGCTAGACAGACATTTTGGTTTTGCTCTGACCGGTGAGATTTATTCTTGCGAAAGATTTGTGTGGAATTTCAGTGCAGTTTTTTTTTGTTTCTTACTTTTTTACACTAGTTTATAAATTTTTCAATTCTCTTTTTTCTTTTTTTCTGTAAGCCATTTTTTCACTTTTTTTTAGTTTAATTCTTCTGCATTTGATTATTATTTAATCTTTATTTTATTTTTCTCCGTTATTTCGGCCATTTTGTTTGCTATTTTTTCTTAAGCAAAACTTTACTTTTAAAACTTTATTTTTTTAAGTGACCCCACTTCAAATTATTTATTTTTTCCGTTTTAATTTTATTTTGATTTATTCTTTTATTTGTTTTTTCTTACGTTTAGTTTTTTAAACCACGTTTCTTTCGTGTATGTGATTTTTTTGTATTGCGAACTGTTTTTTCTGTGTGTACTGTGGTGGGGTCTCGGCCAAAATGGTTCTATCTCCTCAGCATTTGGGAACCTCACCAACAGCCGAGGCCCCATCAGCATGGGCGACAGACACGCCAAGAAAAAGGACCCGAATATTATAATAGCAGAGTCTGTCTATATTTCTGAGATGAGATATTATGTATCTTATATTATTCGGACTATTGTCCCCATCTTTGTCGCCATATTTATCACAACGTTTCGGCCGTTGTACGCTCCGGCCTTCTTCAGGTGGTTGGAATTTCGAACTGAACCCTTTATGTGCCATGAACTGAACCCTGTGCCATGTGTCCTTGAGGACACATGGCACAGTGGATAAAGGCGTTGGTTAGATCCAGTGACAGACCCAAAGAAGGTGAGTTCAATACCCGGTTAAGGCAGTGGAGAACTTTCACAGGAAAAATTAACAGGAGATAATTGATAACTGACATCCATCAAACATGGCACATGGAACTAGAACAGTCTACCCCAGTGAGCGAAATAAAGGGTTCAGTTCGAAATTCCAACCACCTGAAGAAGGCCGGAGCATACAACGGCCGAAACGTTGTGATAAATATGGCGACAAAGATGAGGACAATAGTACGAATAGTGTAAATAATGAAGTATATCATATTCAACATAATTGCCTAGAACTTGTGATATTTCTCTCGGCTGTATAAGAACGCTTTCTCAAATCAAAATGAAAAAAAAAGGCTCCGAGGTCTTAGTGATAACCATTCTTTTTCGAACCTTGCGAACTGGCGCTACAGAATTACAAGCAAAGAACTGTACCAAATAATCGAAACCGCAACGCTTGAGGACTTCCAACAGCAGCAACAACTAAAATGACTATCACATGTAACTCGAAGAAATAAATAAAATGAAATAACCAAGATACAGATATTCTACACGACCTCAAACAAACGGTTTGGAAAAAAACCTTCGATACTAAAAAGAGCTATAACTGTGGCATTGCGAAACGTATTTAACTGAAATGTTTTAATAGGAAGATTGAATATATTTCAACCGAAAGTAGCACTACTTGATCGGCCGATGAATAACGAATGATTCCTTATAATGACTAATGTTACCATTAGATAAGAGAAGAACATATACTACACTTTGATATCAACCCGTTGGCCAGGGAGTGAAGAAAAGCATAACTAGAGTAACGCTGTCTGCAGGCTCAATGAATACCGAACGTTTCCTGATAAGGAAACTGCTAATGTCACCATTAGATATGAGAAGACCAGATACTATGTACAGATGCTTGGTGACTGAACAGAACAGATGATGGGTGAATGAATACGGAATATTTCCTTATAAGGAAACGGCTAATATTACCATTACCATTAGAGATGAGATGAACAGATACTAAACTTTGATACCAGCCCATTGGCCAGGGAGTGAAGAAAAGTATAACTACCGTAACGCTGGCTATTGGCTCAATGAATATCGAATGTTTCCTTATAAGGAGACGGCTAATGTTATCATCAGATATGAGATGAACAGATACTACACATTGACATCAGCCCATTGGCCAGGGAGTGAAGAAAAACATAACTAGAGTAACGCTGTCTGATGGCTCAATGAATACCGAATGTTTCCTTATAAGGAAACGGCTAATATTACCATTACGATTGTCTCTCACTCCCCAAACGTAAAATCGGTTAGTCATTTCAGTGTAGGTTCCTTTTAACAGGTCCTGCATGACTTGATGCTTAAGTCTTCTTTAGTCTTGAATATTTCCTTTTCTTATTTTTACCTTATAAGGAAACGGCTAATTCGTCCGTTGCCTACTCATGAGAAATTGCATTTATCATTTTTCTTTTTAAACTAATATATATTTTTTTCTTATATTATCTTCTTGTCAACGCACTTAATCCGAAAGCTTGTCCATTAATCACATCTGGTCTTTAGAGATTCTTGATAAAATCCAAAGAAAATCTGCCATTCGTCCTGACCTGGCATCACGATTTCAGACAATTTCCCGCCGACGTTATGTGGCATCTCTCTGCCTTTTCTATAAATACGTTCACGGTAATTATTCTGACGGAACTTTCGTCAATGGTACTTAGAATTATTATGATTTCAAGGGCAGTAAGGGATTGGCGGGAAGGTCTTATCATTTTACAGTTGAATAGACTAGATATAACCGTAAGTTCTATGCTAACAATTTCTTCTCTCGCACTTCTCTCTTGTGGAATCTCTTTCGAGTTATTGCTTCCCAGTCAACCTTGATTTTCAAAAATTTAAATGTAATGTCAATCGTCATCTTATGTCTTCTTAATTCTTGTTCTTTTATCGTTCTCTCCCATAAACAGTATTTTTTTTTCCTGATTGTCTCTAACGACGTAATGGTAATATTAACCTTTTCCTCTGAAGGAAACATTCGGCATTTATTGAACCAGCAGCTCACGTTACTCGATTTGTGCTTTCCTTTACTCCCTGGCATACGGGCTGGTATCAAAGTGTAGTATCTGTTCATCTCATCTCTAATGCTAATGGTAATATTAGCTATTTCCTTATAAGGAAACATTCGGTATTCATTGAGTAACCTGTTGCGTCTTAGTGGCGTTATTGCCTTGCTTGGAGCGTAATGATTAAAAAAAAAGGTTAAAATTTCAGATCAAAATTCATCTAAAAATGTGTTATGCTACTGACTTATTAATCCACGCACACACACACATAGCTATATTAAGTGTGATTTTATATAACATGTTTAGTTGCTTAAAAGTAGTGCTTGAATCATTTGAGAAACCTCATCAAAGCAAATGCTTGAAGTACCAGTTTATAAAAATTC